TTATTTCCTCTTTCCATATACTGTGGGATGACATCACTCTGGATGACAGAACACGGAAGAAGATTACATGGGCCAACTACACCTATGAACAATAAAATCCTGATTTACCAGCTGTGTTCTTTCTCTTAGCAGGCCAGCTGCTTAGGGGAAGCAGACTCATACAGAAAATGCAGACCAGTCATTACAGAAAATTCTACAACCAGGAATCCTAGTCCCTAGGATTTTTCTTATGGAAAAATGACAAAGAATTTAATGAACGCTGCTCATACCACTGATCCCTAAGGAATGGATGGCTGGCAAAGGAAAGCAATGCCATTGCAGAGCAGCAGCAGACATATTATAATTGTAATTAAACATTTTTGTTACATATTGCAGGGTTGCAGGTCAAAGTCTTCCTCAAAAATCTTGAGATGAGCTAGTAAGTTCAGCTATAAAAAAAAGAGTGACGTTCCTCCTGAGCAGGTCAGAAAATTCACATCAAAGCAAGGCATAAAGTACTGCCATTTTATCCTTATTTACTCCTTTTCAAATTAATGCATTGAATGCCCAAAACACAAAATGATTCCTTGGAAAGAGCTCAGTTACAGTAAAGGTTATCACATTTTCTTAATGTTTTCTTGCCAAATATTACTCAAGTATATGTTTACTGATTTAATAGAATTTCTTTTCAAAATAGAACTTGCAGAGCATCTTTAGAACTAATGAGGTAAGAAAATGTCAGATACAGGACTGTCACAAGAATACACATAACACATAATGCTAACACTTCTTCACCACTTCTGTTAAAACTTAGAAGTTTCAGAACATCTGGTGATATGCTGAATGTCACAGCTTGTAAAAACTCTAGTATTTAAGAGGTTGACTTATGAAAGCCTGATATCTATTAATAAAAAGACAGTTTCAGTGAATCAAGGTCTTCAGAAGGTGTTACTGGTCTTGCACTGGACACTCTGCAGCATTTCCAGGATATATACCCAAATTCTTGGCCTGAATTATTTTTGATGAAGACAGAGTCAGTAATCTCTCCTCTTATAATTTCTAAATTAGGTTACTATAAATCATGGATTTATGACAAATGAGATAAACATTCCCAAAATACCCTTTGGCAAAATGCTTTTGGACTGCAATTTTGCCAGATTTTTATTTGTCTGCAAAATTGTCAGTCTATAGTGTACAGAGGCATCATTTAGGTTCTGTCATATTGCACAAAAATGCTTTGATGTGTAGCTCTTCCTATTTGTACAGGTTGTGCATATCAGTGAGTCTCCAACTGCTATGCAGAAAACTCCTAAAAGTCTGTAGGTTTTAGTATAATATTTCTGAAGCTTTTCATTCTGTCACAGGAACTGCCTCAAATAGGCAACAGAATTCTGTAACCCTCCACTTCAAACTACGCCTGCCCAAATTTAAAGACTTTTTTACAGGTTAAGATTACCAGTTTGGATTTATTTCTACATCAAAGTATTTATCTGATTCCTCAAAACAGAATAAAACAAAATTTAAAAGCTGCAGTTAGTTTCTGAAGTTGAATTTAAAATGTCCTATTACTTTATTACAAGGATACCACAACTCCCAGTGGAGCAATGCTACTTGGTAAGATCTAATAAGGATGATGACCAAATTGGCTTTGACTGCATAAACCAATACTAAAAACTGTTTTCACATCTACATGCTGAAGCTTGCCAGATTTTATAAACCAAATATAAATTATTTCAGACAAACAGAAAGCAAATTATTAACAGAGAATTTCATTTATATAAGACAGAGCAGAAAAGAACAAGAGAGACTAATCTGAGGAACAATTTTTTAGCGTGTCAGAAGTACGGTTTCTGTTAGAAATGCACAAATTATGCCATGCAGTGCTTATAAATTAACAGAAAAAGTACTATAGAAGTGAAGTCCTGCTGTGTCAAATATGCCACACAATTTTTGTTCTGATAATAGCTATTTAGGTTAGGGCGTGACTTTTCTCTGATATAGCTGTGCTAGTACAACCCCTAGTGTGGACACAGTTTACTGCCATGAAGGCATTATATTCATACCACTTATAAAGCTTGTTCCTAAGCAGTAAAAGTATTAGGTAATACACTGTTATTTTAGCACAGCTACAACCACAACGGGAGGGCTGAGAGAGAAAAAGAGAGGGCAGTAGGTGATGCTACTTTACAACATACTGGGCCAGATGAACAGATGTGGTTTTTGTGTAGAGAAGCCGTGTGGTACATGTCTTTCCTCCCACCTCCCTCCATAATCCTGATGTTAATCAGGATCATGATGGATGATATTACAAAACAGTTATTCAATTTAAATGGAAACATTGCTCATTGCTTCTTAATGTTTATTTTAAGAAATATTCATATAAAATGTTAATAACAGGCAGTCATAAGAAATACTGACACCTTGATATTAGTCCTAACCAAGCAATAAAGATACGAAAAAGAGACATAAGGATAAAAGAGAATAAGACCAAAGACATATACTCCCTGTAAATTCCCTAACTGATGCAAGTTCATTCTTGAAGAGCTTTATAAATACCAGTATATGATAAATAATTACCTACATTTATTTGACATATATGTATCTCATGATCCTAAATTGTACATGTGGGGATTTGCCTATTCTGACACACCTGAACAATTTTAATCCCTTTTTAGAAGTTACTACATATAAAAGAAAAAATATCTTCAAAACTAAAATTTATCCACACCACAATTAAAAATACAATTATACCCCAAGAAACAGTAAACTTACTCTCAATATCAAACATGATTCTTTCCTTTTAAAACAGAAAAAAAGCATCATTTAATACAGAATAGCATGAAAATACTCATACATTATTGTCTCTCTACTTAAAAAAAAAAAACAAAAAAAAAACAAAAAACCAAACATCTATTATGAACAGATGGTGGCCAAGGAAGGTATCAGCTCTGTCTCTTAGCCAGAAGGTCAGGTCATGGCTGAGAGACCAAAGAACAATTACTGTTTGCTATTCAGTGCCATATAAGATAAAACATTTCAAGTTTTTCTTTAAATACAAAGCTAGATGTGATTGAGCTGTTTTCATTTCATTTACATGAAATAGTTTGCAGTTACTTATTAACATTCCTTAAAATTTGATTTAAAAAAACCACAGCAACAACAACAGAACAACGCAAAAATGAATAAACACTTTTCTTAGGTTGCCTTTGAACATGTTAAATAATACTAGGACTTATCCAGAACTATCTGGATTCCTAGAGCCACAGCTATAAAACAGCTGCTAGATACTGAGTCTGAGAATTTCAAAATGGTTTGTTTTCCCTATTTTTTTAGGAACCAACGATCATATTTGAACAACATAATTATGTAATTACTGAATTATCTAATCTTTATCTAATTATCTAATAATCTTTGCTGATAGGAACTCCCCCTCACATCACTTCACTTTATATCAAATTTTAAATCACCACATTTTGGTGTACTCATACCCACACTGATTAAAATATCAGTATGTCAATACACGAGGTTAAAATATTTTGTTAAATTTTGCAATTTGTTCAAAAGGCAATCCTGAAGCAAGTTGGAGAACAGGATATAAAATCCAAGATACTTCTTCAAGTATCTTATTAAACACATCCTGTTTTATTTGTATGCCAAGATTATGCCAACTCTTTTATCTGTGATATCTGTCAAGGCACAGACGACAAGCTTGTTTTTTGTTTCTCAGTGTCCTTAGGCCTAAAGGATGAGAGACCAAAAAAAAAAAAAAAACCCGCACCAAAAAACCCCACCAACAAAAAACCAACAACAACAAAAAAAAACAACCCTGAAAAGAAAATGCTTTAAGACCTCTGTTTTTCTGCACCGTAGGAATTTCTACACATGTTGAAGGGTTATTTTATCTAATAAGCTCCTACTTTGGACTTTAGTATCCTTTCATTATAATTTGAATTAATAATTGCTTCCAGACCAAGCTTGCACTTTATTAAGTTAATAAACTTATCGCCCTGTAAGAAACTTTGGGGGGAACTGGTAAATAAAAATATAATTTTAGAATTACTGCATTTTTTCCCTACATATATTTATACACAGGGAATGATGTGTTCAGTTATTTACAAGAAAAAGAATGATTCAAAACCTGTTGGATAGGCTGCCCTTATAACAAAATGCATATTAAAAAAATTACCCTCACGTGCATCTTACATATCTGTGTATTCAGAAGATACCCATTCATGTGCAAAACACATCTCTGAAGGAATAACTAAAAGTTTGAAGTCCTAGAGAAAAAAAATGGATAGAATTTCAACAAAATGGGCACTTCAAAAAATACAGATTACACCTGTTCAAGCTGTTTGCCAAGTATGTTGCAGGTTACTCTAATAATCCTTCTTACTGCATGGGATGTTTTCTCAGAGACTACCTGTAAGGCATACACTGGTTTTTGTATTATTATAAACCCCAGTTTTAGATAAGCAACAGTTAATGCCAAGTGGAATTTTTCTACAGTTATTTTTTTCTAGAAGGTTACTTTTGTTTTGTTTTTGTTTTTTTTTTTAAACTTCTGTGAATCGCAGTATTCATTAACCTTGAATCTTTAAAGAAACTGGAAGATAAATTATTTTCATTTTTAGCATCCTTATGTTATGCTTAGAGTCTTTAATGTTCTGTCAGGCTGCATGTATAGGTAATTATGTGTGGATTTATTTGTGAGAAAAAGTGTATGAACATATGTATACAGTACATACAATTTAAGTACTTCGTATAAATACATATGATAGAGTAATTCTATATGAAAGCATGTGATGAGTAATACGCAAAACTGAACAGACTAGGGCTGAAAACAAGATTAAGAAAACCAAGAGGTATTTATTTAGCAGTAATAGCTGGCTTTTTGCCATTAATTTAGAAACCATTTAACACTAATAAATGACCACTATTAGAAAAATGAATCATTCCAGCTTCTGAAATAACCCTACTTAGGCTACTAGTAACTGCAAAGTTATAGCAGTATTATCTCTTACCTGGTCCTTAATTTCAAGCTCCCTTATAGTTTTTGTTCTGTACTCTCTGAGCTCCTTTTCTGCCTCATCCTTCTTCATTTTGGTTTGATTCAACTGATAGCGCATTTCTCCACACACCTGTTAGATTACACAGACAACATGATCTGTAGCTTGAAGGGTAGACCAGGGTTTGCAATTAGATCTTTTGGTGCCCTCTACAGGTCATTGATAGGCAACATATTTTAAATTTACAGATATTTTAAGTCTGCTATGATGAATGTTTTTATATAAAAAGGTGGATCTGAGTTCTTTATATAATCATTAACTTTGAAATATGCAGTACCTTCTAGATTCAAATATATTTGGATCAAGCTTTTGCTAAGTATAAATATTTATGTTGTAAATATACGCCACTAAATAGAGTTAAAATACAGTTGCTGGTTTTATATTCTTCTTCCATTCTCTGTAAAATCCCAAGAAAGTCTACGTCAACACTTCAAAATCTAGAAATAAAGGATGTATCACACTCCTATATAAAGGTGTATTTTCTTAATGTGCCAATTTTTAACTGTTAAGAAAGAAATTTAGATGTTAACTACAATAATTTTCAAAGTTTGATCAGAGCTTTACAGACTTATGGCAAACTTTAAATTCTTTAAAAAACAATGCCTAATTTAAATATATCCATAGTCCAGAAGAAATGGATCAAAGCAACATTTATAGAAATCACTTCCCCACAGGACAACTATTCTCTGCTGTTGGAGTGTTTGTCATGTTGTCTCCTCAATCCTTTCTACCTGAGGGCTTGTCATCTTCCATGAGTATGGGGAGGGGTTAAGAGAAAGTGAAAAAGAAATAAAAAAAGAACAAAACAAAACAAAAAAATTCCTCCCACATAACTTTCTTTACTGTTGTGCAGGAATTTTTTTCAATTTCTCAGTCAAAGCTGTCCCCTTTTTGTGCCATCACCTCCAGTTTGTGCCTGTTCATTTCACCTTAATTAACCAAAGATAAATACATGAACATTCCCTAATGAGAATGCAAATGTGTTTATTCACAGCTCCTCTTAGACAACTTTCTTTCCAGCTCACTCTATTTTCCTGCGTTGCTTACATTCTTTCAGCAGACTTGCTTCCTAAATGAGCACCCTTTAAGTTGCTGCTGCAATCCTCTGTGCTTCTCAAAAATGCTCTCACATATTCTACAACCGAAATTAATTTCTATTTTCAGTCTTATACCTCTTCTCATTTTCACTATTTTTTTTCTCCTTCTTCTTAAAAAAAAAAAAAAAAAGGTAGGGAAAAAGTAAACACGCATCCTGTAATGAAATCACTCTAGGAAAAAACTAATCCAACTGTTGCAACTTTTAAGAAGTAACATCACTTATAAATGCAAGGGACAGCTTGTGAACTTAGCCACTGCAAACAGTGCAAAGCAGCAAATGCTCTAAAGAATGACAAACTTCTAAAGCATATTTTTAAACACTAAAATATCATATGCAACTAAAAAAAAAATCATAATATGCAATGGCATAGCTTGTAGACCCTGTCTCTTTCTACCTCCTCCTTCCTTTAGGTGAAGAATGTAGCAAAATGCAATATGTCACTTCCTCCACATAAAATTAAAGAAATACAGCAATCCTCGCCTTCAGCTCCTCCACAGACTGTACAAAGTGAATAACACAGAAGAATCAGCAGATGGTGCTGTCCTAATAACAGATTTTTCAGTCTCCTCAGGAATGAAGGAAATTTTTTCCCCCCTGACTTCTGTTACATGAGGAAAAAAATATTTCAGCCAAAACTCAAAAGTGTTGCTATTTGCCATTTTTAATAATGGCAAACTCAGTTTGGAAACAAGGAGTCAGATTCACAACAAAGATGTCGCTTACATGGCCAATGGAAAATGTGGGGGTGATCCACATAGTCCTGCCAGATCAATAGTCAGGGCGTTCCTCCAGGATTTTTGAGACTTTTCAGTTCAGTATAGTGACACAAATGAAGCTTTCCAGTCTCTTAGGATAGTGCAGTTAAAACAGAATATAGGCTATTGCAAGGTGACCACCTATTCAACTTCGTACTGATTAACCTTAACTGAAGCAGGGACTGGAACCACAGTAGCACTCTCCTGAGAGATAGCTTCAAATCAGCAGGCTACAATATTATTCTTTTCAGATCAATAAATATTTATACCTACTACCTGCTCTTCACCTCTGTAAGTGGTGCTAGTCATCTGTAAACACAGCCTGGAAGACTAAAAGTGTGTTTCAGAAATGGTAAATCAAACCATTCTGACGTGCTTAAAATACTCATTTGTCTTTCAGCTGAAATGGACTTAAAATTTTTAGTAACTTGCAATGAGTTTTTGCTGTGAATTTTCAGCAATACTTTCACTTACTTCTACCAGCTGGGGAAGCAGGGGAAGACAGAAACTGTTGAAAACCTTTCCAGAAATCTCTAGAGGCCTAAAGAACCTTGCACTTAACAGCTGAGAAGGTAGGATAGGCCCTAAAGATAATTGGTAAGGTATACAGACATTTTGAGAGGCTGTAACAAAGTGTTTTTTTCATTCTCATGTTAACCCATATAAAGTTCTAATAGATTGAGAAACGTGCAAAATAAAGCACACAAAAGTGATACACCTACACTAGACAGATGTTAAGCTATAATTCTTAATTAGAAGAAAGATGTCCTTGTAAGGGACATAGAATCAGTGTTAATGAATAAAGGAGTATACTACACACAAAGTCTAAAGGAAAGTATTCGACAAACAGTGATTTGATACAGCTCCCTTTATTTTAGCACTGCATGTCCCAGAGGTAGCCATTAAAGACTATGTTGTCTCATTCAGACCAAATGCAATTTTTACTGAATTTTTAAATAGTTTTAAATAGTATTAAATAGTGATCTACACAGACTGCAAAGTAGAAAAGTTAGCTTTTGCATGACAAGGGGCCTAGGCAAGCTGAAAAGGTTATCTTTTTACTCCTACAGCTGTGCCTGTGGGATATTCAGATGAAGCCCACATTATCACACGTTCTTTACCAAAACAGGAAAATGGAGAAAGAAAAAATTCTCATCTTTCAGGTCACAGTGATAAGGAAAACCAAGCTCAGTACTCACTTATAAATGTGCTTACCTTATTCATCTCCATTTCATGAAATGCAAGGTGATCCCGTGATTGTTCTAACTGGTTAACTAGAGAGTTCTTTTCACTTGTAATTTTCTTCATTTGAGCCTCCAAAACGGCCACATTCTCAGACAAGGCTGTCACCTGCAAAAAGTCCAAGAACACTGTAATGACACAATTTAACCAACCATAGACCTAAATTTTGTGGGAAGCTCTCCTTAAAATTAACTGTATGTAGACAAAATACATAGAATTATAAATGCAATAAAAAATAAGTATGTACAATAAAATTTATCATGTATTATAAATAATAGAATATGGCTAAATTATTATAACAATAGGTTTGTAATTTTGAATTAATTTATGATACAGTAGTTTATTTGAAACTTTTCATCAACTGGACTAGTCTCCAGGAATTTTAAGTATGGACAAAGTGTCACAAGCAGCTGGCTGCATTAGTTTTGCAGCTGTAAGAGTACTATTGATCACTTTCTTATCCATCCTTAAGTAGATTGCTTTAAAATAAACCATGTTCTCCCAGCTAAAGAAAACGCTTATTGCAACCACAGACTTCAAATTAATTTTCAATTTCAGAAAACATTTCAGCACTATAGATCAAAGCACAATGTTGTACAAAACCCATATAGAAACAGTATATTAAAAATTCTAATGTAATCCAGATGAAGTTTTGCTGAACGGTAGAAAAATGTAACAATAAAACAGAGGCAGTAAAACTTCAGCTATTTAGCCCTGAAGCTTACTAATATAAGTGGAAATAACGGTGTCTGACAGTTCTAGGTTAACTTACAGAAATTCAAAGCCAAACCTAGAGGATTATATATTCATAACTAATTTTCACTTCTTATACATCCACCTGACTTACGTATCATGCCAATTCTCTCCTTCAAACAAATAATTTCACAAAGTGAGTGATAAAATATTCGTATGAAGTTTGACTTGATGCACACTATACCATTTCTATCCCATTAATCCTAAAACATAAAAGTAGCTAATAATATGTAGGTGTATATCATTAATACAGAACATAGCTTTCTACCAAATCATCCCATATCTTTAATTGCCAAGCATGATGTCATCATAGCGTCGCTATATGTTCTTTAATGTGTATGCAGTATTTAAAAATAAGGACTACAACTCCTTAAAGTGGGAATCAGTTTCAGTAAAACACATCTCAGTGAGTGATGAAATATAAAGTAATGTGATGACATGGAGTGAAATATTCTACCAAAAAGAAGTATGAAACGCTTATCTAACAGGCTGTATTTTGGAGTGAATACCCTGTAATAAAACAACTCTGCAGCTAAAGAATTAACTTCATAAGAGGGATAATATGACAGATAGCAGGGGGTTAAGGGATTGCTTAATAATGTCTCATTGTCTCCAGAGTAAGGTTATTTTTTTTATTTCAGTTTCCCCGGCAACAGATTTCTGATGATCAGTTCACTTACTTAAATATCACTTAGTCCTTATCACCGTGCTTAATTCCTGTTTTTATAGCTGGTACTGGATTCAAAGGCTTTGACTTCCTGTAGCAACTTAGGATATTATTCCACCATCTCATAATACCAGAAATACCACCAGATCACCTTAGTTCCCTGTTTATGTTAGTGGTTTTCCAGTCATTTTACAAGCAACAACACTGCTAAAAAACCTTCCCACCCCCCCTTTTTTTTTTTAAACACCCTTAATTAGTTTATCCTGTTCAGTCTGTGCTCTCTGAATTTTTAGAAATAAGCCATACAGTTCATAAGAGTCCCAAAATATGGAAAAAGCCTAAAGTCAGCAGAGAAATTCACTCCATTGTTTCTAAATCTCCACCAGAAAATAGTTGAAGAGGTTGCACGTCAAGCAAGCATGAAAGCCGCTAATCCATGAAGTATTTATCTCTCTACATTTTTTTCCCTTTTCAATCACCTTAGAAGTGCCTCCTCTATCATGTCTCACAGGCTTTACTGCTGTTAGCATGAGGTTTTCTCTGTAGACTCCATCGGGCAGAAAATCTTTATGTTTTATATTCAAATTGAACTACCATTCAGAAGTCTAAAACAAGGTTATCAAGACTACCACAATGGTCACGGCATAAATGATAAGACAGATTCTCTCTCAGAGAGTTTATAAACATCAGTAAAAGTGAGAAAAGAGATTCCAACACATTTCTGCAGGTGGGAAAACTGAGCATATGATAAGATGACTCTGAAATTATGATATCATAACATTAATGTATATGTAAGATCAAAGCAGCAAAGAATCCTAAATTTGACATGTGCTAACTTCTGAATGTTTGATTTGCCAAGCTAAATAATTTTTATAAAAGAGATATGTACAAACCTTGTGTCACACGTTAGTTAACCCTTTCCTACTTTGACAAAGTGCATTAGAAAATAGTATGCAAACTAAAAGAAAGGGCATAACACCAATAACCTAGTATGTATGCAGCGACACAGCATAAAACCCAGTCATTCAAAGGATCACTTATCCACCACTGCTTTAAAGCAACGGTAGAAATGACTTAGTGATCCCTCAAACCCAAAACTGAAAATGAAAGACAAGCAAACAGAAAGTTTAAAGAGGATGATACACTCATCCTAATACACAAGCAGGAAAAGAACCAAATTCATACCATTGCTGCCAATTCCTCCTTTTCTTTCTTCATTTCCTCCCGCACTGCTTCTTTTTCATTAGCCCTCTCATTTAGCTGAGCAGCCAACTCCCTTTCAAGAGAATTCTTCTGCCGTTCCACCTCACTTTTCAGTTGCTCACAGTGGACTAGAGCCTAAAAAAATACAATTATTTTCTGATGTGGAAGAAAACGAAAATTTTTGAACAAATACAGTATGTATCTAATGCCGTCAGAGAAACCAATTTGCTACAAGAAAGGTCATCTTTTTTATTTTTTATGTAGTTATTATGATGTTTATACATACCCTATTGTGTTAACATCTAAAACAGGATTAAGAAAATTAAAATAGATGTATATATTTGTATGTATATACATGTCCTACTGCATAAACATAACAAAACTAATTGCTTTTAAGAGCCATGGTAAAGATAGAAGCATTTTCAAATAAATAGCTGTTCTTCTAAAACTATGATTATTTGCCTTGCATTTAAAATTCCTGAGTGCACATCACTAGAATCAGTCTCCAATATTTGATTCCTTAAAAGTACTGTGGTTACTGCCTAACTGCATAATTTAGGAAAAACATATGGAAAAATTAATAAAATGTATGCACTTGCACTTGTTCTGCCCCTGAAGTGCATTACTGAGTGCAGAACACTAAGAAGAAACCTGAAAGAAGTAAGGATAAATACAATTTTTTCAAACTTTTTTTCTTTAATTTCAGGTTTGTAAAAAATTAATTCTACTAAAAACCTCATAAAAGTACTGCTCAATTTGAGGTTCTAAAACAACAGGTTATAGATGCGTTTTCTACCAAAAAAGAAGAAACATAAGTTAAAGAAGACTCTCAAAACACTATCTTATAAAAAAGCTAGGGAAACAAATATATTTATGAATGTTTGCTGCCTTATCTCTGCCGAAGTGATAGAATGAGTTTAAATCAGAAACACCCTCCTCTCATAAAAGTAAATCCAGCTATTCAAAGCACCCTACAGGCAGCTTTGCTAGCCCACAAGTAAACTAGACTTCATTTCATCGTTTCACTGATACTCAGGATATCCTGTTCCAAAGAAGCTAGAGTAACCTCCTTTTAGGAATCATACAGTATTAAACTGCTTATTTTCTTTTACTCAAAGCCAAAACCCTGCACTCAGTTTCATGGCATTGGGCTGTTCATTAGAAGCAAGTTAAGTGATAATATTTTAGAGAATGCTCTAAAAGTCTGCAGTAGTTTTATGTCAATTCTCTGAGACCCTTCACAGAATCCCTTTTCATATCACCAGTCTACTTTGGTGAAGTACCATTGTTTTGACTACAGAGTGAGCAATTCAAACAATTATTCTTTTATGCCATTTATGTTGAAAATACATTCCTGATTTTCCTTCAACTCTGTAAAATCAACCTTAACAGACTTCCTCCTTGCCCTACACAACAGGCAAGGGGCCACAAACTACAGAGACAACCAAAAGGCAGAAAGAAATGGTGGTTTTAAACGATAAGCACAAGAGGCTGGACTTTTCATCAACAGGGTGATGAAACTGCAATTATAGGATTTGGAAACTTAATGTGTTAACCCCTCCCTTTTCTTATATGGACTGTTCTGCTGGATTCCATGCTAATTATCAAGAAAAACAGCATTGAAGAGTAGAATAGGACTGGGAAAAAAAAAAGATTGTTTGTAGTTACTAAGATACACCAGTATATGTAACGATGCTAAATTAATGCCGCATAAGTAAAAAATTTCTTCCTGTTTTGGAGTATCAAAAAAACCAAAATTACTATTCAGACTTGTACACAAGCAGACAGCACTTGATAAGACCCTACACGCCCATACACTTCTCTTGCAGCACTGGATGAATAATACCAAGCTGATCAATAGAGCATTTATATCAATCTTGTATGCATTTAATTAAAAAAAAAAAACCAAAACAAACCAACACTCTCTCAATTTCATAGTAATTCACTAATAATACAGTAGATGTCACTACCTATCAAGGAAATAATTTAGGTCAATATAGACTGATTGTGTATAGAACTAGAGCTAACACAAGCATTAGATCAAAACTGGTTTTAAGATTATCATTTACATAACACCAAAAACTTCCTGCAGGTAACATTAGACAGGACTTCTTATCTTCAAAGAGCTCTGATAGTTAATCAGTTCTTGCACTGCTCTTATCTGAGGCAAAAAGGAGTTGTTTGTAAGCATTTTAACTATTCTTTCCAGAGTAGGTCAGAGATGTGATGTGAAAATTATCCTCTTACATGTTATGAATACCTTTGAAAATTCTTTGAATTTATATCACCTAGTTGTGAAGCTACATCAGAATTTAAAAATTCAACGCTCCCTACAGTATTGATGAGTATTCAAGAACTCAAATACAGCATTCATGTTACTGCTTGAAACAGTCACACAGAGCAATTGTTTTAAATCTACTACATCATTTCAACATATGACAAAGGTCTAACACATACTTGTTCATTAGCATGAAAACTAACATTTGCAGTAGAACCGAACACTGAAAAGCTCTAATTTCTTGATTAATTTACCTTTATTTTTTCCAAATTGGCCTCTTCTGCCATTTGCACAGCATGTTCAACTTGCTTACAAGCATCAGATTCTCTTTGCTGCATCTCTTTCATGTTTTGTCTCAGTGAAACAAGTGCATCCATCAAGTCATCTCTTTCTCTGCATATAAAGAAAAACAAGATATTTCCTCTATATCTTAAGAGAAAAAAACCAAACACCATGTATATAAAATACTAAATATTAACAGATACAACACATAAGGATGGTGGTAAGTGAAGCAAGACTAAAATTCATTGGTTAAGAGTGAAAGACAACACATACTGCTAGCTTGGCAGATATTGAAAATATCACTTGCTTGATGATCTGTCCTTCATTTCAGAAGGATGGACCATTACAGAAAATGCCAATAATGAGAGCAGGTCTCAAGCCATTAACATACTGAAGCTGAGCACATTCTGTTGGCATTACAAAATGGGGATCCATAAAAAAAAAAAAAAAAAAAAAAAAAGGCATGTTTCTGAAAAAGCAGAATAATGCAATATGGAATTACACTGTCATTAAAGGTAAATAAGGGAAAAAATAATAAAAGGAAGGATTAGGTTCAACAAGTAATTCAGACCACTATGTATATAAAATGAAAATCTGTATCCCATCCCTTTGCCACAAACTGGAACTAAACTAATCAATAAGCCACCTTGATCCTACATCTCCCACAAATTTTTGTTAACTAAGACACTAAGATCTGTACTAAACAGTGCAGCAGAGTTGGCAAAACTGTAATACTTAACTTCACCTTTTCATTACTTTGCCATGTTAAAAACTTTTACATTAAGAGTTTTAATGTAAACTGTCTGTAGTTTAGGTGCAACTTGAGATTCTGGATGAAAACTGTTGTGTTTGGGTTTGGTTTCTTTGTTTTTTTGACATTGTGTGAAATGGTAACACATTTTTTTGTATTTGTCAGAGAACTAACAGCCATATTTTGAAATTTAATTTCTACCAGAATTGGACAAGGTTCCTTTGAAAATCCCTACTGAAGTATCTTTGGTTTTAATAAAGTGCATCACAAGCAGATGTAGATTTTAGATTTTGTTAAACCTCAAATGAGATAATGGTTTAAGATAGATAAATAGGTCAGCTCAAATATTTTCCTTCGAGCTGCCTCATAATACAAGAGGACAAGAATGTAATGAATTATAGTTTGTTCATATTTTCCAACATCTGTGACAAATAATTACTTTTCTTACAAATGTAGATTTTGAAAACTGACTATTCAGCAACAGAGCTTCCCCAGAAAATTCTTGGACTTGATATTAGGAAAATATATACAAATCCTGGCAATGGCCATCAAATGCATAGGGACATTATCCACTTGATTGACTATACATACTATGGACTACATCCCTTCAGTCTCCTTACTTCTAACAGACCCACTATTTAATCTCCAGCAGGCTCATTCTAAAACTTCAGAAATCCTATGAAGCTTCAGATATCTGACAACAAATAAATGGCTGTTTAACCAAGTTTGAAAAAGTTGCAGTGTCCTATCATTATTACTAGCAAGTAGAGAGGCAGAGTTTTTTTTCCAGATGGTTGACTAGCAGAATTCCTAAGAAAAAAAAATTTAATGCTGTTGGGGTTTCTAGATTTCATATATTCAGACTGTATAGCTGTTTTAAAAAAATTATTTAAATAAAAGTTCGAATTAAAAAAAGGTTGCAGGAAATAATTTCATTTTTTTTTATCCAACTTCTTGGATCTACTACAGATGTTTTAGGTAGGAAATCCCTACCCCAAGCACCTGACCTACTGCTGATGTACTTGAAAAGTTCCCCAAATGCAAGGAGAACAAAGTGAAGCCAGAGAAAATTCCAGCTACAGAAAGACAAGGAACTTTTGCAGGCTAAATCAAAATACACAGACTTCCACAATGTTTGTGCTGACAGAGGGAAAGACCTGTTTGTATAAAAAGTGCAGGAAAAAGACTATAAATAGCCTCATTATCTGGACAGCCCAAAGTACCATAATTACATGATAGTGACTAGCATTCTTTCCCAGTTGAAATAAGTAGAAAAACTGAATTATTGATCTCAAAATGGTTGGGACCTACATTCACTGACTTTAGCATTATGACTTCAGCTTGGGAGTGTACTGTTCCGTATGTGCCCATCTCTCTGTGAATGCAATCCAACATATTGAGACTGAAATGGTTTAATGTAAGCATCCATACTTTCAATGAAAAAGTACATACCCCCCCAAACCTACTTCGTCAGCCTTTCGATGGTCTGCACATGAACATTACAATGAGTCTGTGCAAGAACTGCCTCATGTTGTGCACATTTCAGACACAGACCACTAACCCGGCTACAATTTGCAGCTGAAACAAGTGACTTCTGCTGTTTCAGCCTTCCTTCCAAATCTTTACATGTCTTCTGAGATTCTGAAAGGTCTTTTCTAGAAAGAAGAAATAAAAAATATTATTTGCGAAATCAAACATTTCTGCAAGTTATAGTCACACCAATATACTAAAAAGAACTGTAAGAATCTCTGTAATTATTTTACACATTTCAGTAGACGAAGAAAGACTTTATTGGGAAATAACAGTTGAACTGCCCACCTAAAGTTATTAATAGAGAAAACAATATTATGGTAATTTGTTCCTTCTTCCTGTAGTATCAAAAAATTATTAGATAAAAAACTTGTAGGTTTAGATATTATCTGAACAGAGTATAAGATTCATTAGCAAGAAACTACCAGCTGTATAAATATTTCAATACTCTAAAAATTTTCTGTTTTTATTATTAATAACATCACTAACTTCATATTTATTCTCTACTCTTCAGACAAGAATCTATTCAGCGCATTCACTCTGATCCAGAGATATTCATGAACTTGAGGTCAAACAAATGTGCAGAAAGACAGGCCAAGTTTTTTACTTGTCTCCAAAATTTTTACCAGGTGCTCTGAAGAATTGTCTCCAGAATTTCCAAGCATGTGTCAGGCTGGGGAGATTGCAAGCAGTAGGAATGCTAACATCAGGAAGTTCCAGACAAACACACACTGTGCACATATAGATCAATTTGACAAATTGTGCAATGAATCCAAAGCTTTTGGTTTGTTATGCAGGCCATCTGGGCAGCACACACATAGGAAGTCTGACACATTCTGGTTGCATCGGATTTACTGTGCACATGATATATACACTGCATGCATGCTTATTTCCATCTGGAAAATCTTCTGTGCACTTTTTCCAATTTTAGTAGCTGGTCTATTAAATATAATCCACTATAACCTGAACAGAATTTGCTCTGCATATATCCTTAGACAGTCATGGTACAACAGACCTATTGTTGGAAAGCCTTGGAAAGAAATCAGCAAGTCCTGTGTAAATTCATGCTTGAAGTTAAAAACAGTCCCATTGAAAGTGATGTAATTTCTCACTTCAATTAAAATTTAGCTTTGCAGAACTTACAGTTTGAAAGATCATGCCTCTTGGGAGAAATCAAGAGGTTGAATAATGTACTTGAGGAAATTTTCAGACTTCTTTAGCCTCCTATAACTATTTCTGAGTATACATAACACTTTAAGCCAAGTGGGAAAAAAAATAAAAACAGCTGAAATTTAAGATCCTCCTTTACATTCACTAAACAACTAGCTTTGCATGTTTCAGATTTCACCACTGCAGACAGTATTATTTAAACTTGTCTCCCTACCAGTAACTCTTTTTACATAGACAGAAAAGCCTAGAGTTTTCAGATATATGAAACCACAATTTATTTAGGGAAAAGCACAAATAAACAGTCAGAAGCAGTATCATTATTGCAGGTGTACAAGTGGAAGTTCAGTCCTGAAAACCATATCTTAAAGTGGTTGCCCCTTCCTCTGTTTTTCCATAATTTGCTACCTATTCAAACCTTGAATATTTTGAGGAGTACATGAAGACTAACTTTCAAATATTTTTGTGTTTAAAGATATGGAAGTTACACAACTGGAAACACTGCCTACAAACCTTAAAATTATATTTTCCTGCTCCAAAATCATTACATAGCCTAAACTAGTTTGATGCTTAAGATCTCTGAAATTTGCAATATAAAAGATTAGTAAAAGATTGCTAATTACGGAAGGCCTCACACAAGATACAATTTTAACTGCTCTTTTTTTCTTTGATGTACCTTAGCAGACATGGTGTTTATCTGAGGAAAGAGGGTAAAACTGATAAAGACATCTTATATTGCTACTGTTACTATAAAGCAGCAATATATTCAATTTTTTTTTTTCTGCATTTATATTTGAGAAAACTTTCCACAAAACCAGCTTTCAGGGACACTGTCAGAAAACACAACACTCAGGCATTCACGCATTCTCCTAGTTAAATTCAGATCAAGAGTGGTTCATACTGTTATGGGGTCATTAACAATCATTTTAAGGAAAAAGTAAACATTTCACTTTACCTTAGAGACTGTATTTGAGCATCAAGGATATTGACTCTTTCTTGATAAAGAAGTTTTAGATTCTCCTTTAGAAAAGATGGGAGAAAAGAAGTGTCTTTGGCTTTCTTCATAATAGTCTTTACAAATAAACCTAGACTTTTCCCCTGAGAAAATAAACTTATTGAAACACTAGTGGCAGAGAAACCTAAATATTTCACACTTCTGAATGTCTACAAAATGAACAACCCTCCCATTTTCTTATTTCTATATATCTAGCCAAAACTCATATGGTAAACTGTTTCAGCTCCAACTGTAGCCCTCTAAAATGCTTTACCCAAACTGATGACCATATCCTGAGTTTGTTCTTGCTTTCCCGTAAATCAGAAGATATTAAAGAGGAATTCTGATGAACTGGAAGTACACAGGCTATTTATTTATAACACAGTGTATAATACAGTGAGTTACTTTTATTACCTGGTGAAGAACAAAGTATATGAATCAACCACACTCATGTTAAATGCAATGGTGATAACAAATCAGAGAAAGCACTAAAATTTTAGCTCACTATGACACTTAGAAAAAAGTCACAATCAACATGATTCTCTTGCTTTATATGTGACAGATGAAGAAAAGTGCAATCACTGTAAAACCTAGCTTTCAAATAACTGCAGGCAAAAAGGATCACTGAGAAGGTTTTCAGCTCTAAAATAATAGCACAAAAATAAGAAAACTATATTTTTTAGTGAAAAAAATTAATAAATAAATTTAATTGAAGAATTACAGTACTCTAAACATTTTAGAGTGCACATATGCACATGGATAAAAAATACCAAAACTTTTCAGTTAACCAAGCTTTTTTCCCAAGAGACAGCAATGCCACCCCACTACTCCAGAGCAAAAGGAAAATTAATATCTTGCCAAACTAAAAATACAGGATAGAGAAAACATCATCTCTAAATCACTAGGATACCTCTGTATGTCTAAAAGCGAAAAGCATGTAATTTAGCTCAGGGAAAGCAGACCGCACAAATCTACTTTTGTACCTCACTGAGCCTGTGCTGTACCAGAAGCAGAACAACTCATTACAAAAGAGCTTGTGTAGAAGGCTACATAAATTAGACCAGCTAGTTCCCACCTGCTTGGACATTGTGTTACTGCTAAGAATCTCCAAAGTACAATGGAGCCATCATCTTTAAACAACTTATCTGTGGAAAGTCAACATCTGCAGATACAACCTGCCATCTGTATCTAACTGCATAATATTAATTAAGGCATAATGAGAAGATGAGGTTTAAGAGCATAAAATCTGAGGTCAGATTAAGGTTCAGTCAACCAAAACTCCTCCTGTGTCTGTTACAAAATTAATCATCAGAACTGCAGCAACAATAAGGGACTGAAAGTTTTTGCAAAGGTAGGACTCTGTGAAGAAAGTTTATACCAACCAGTTCTACAGGCCATTTTTCTATGCCTCCAGCAACTGCTGTAACAAAAGCCTGATCTTTGTTACGTGCTGGTGATGAGGTGACAGGCTGGCACGTGCTAAAGTCTTTACCACCTGCAGGCCAGGAGTTCTGAGTATTTGCCTAAAACAAAAATATTAATGCTTCAGTTATAATTATGCAGGCTGCTTCTTTAAACAAACGCTACTTATGTAAGTATTGAATCTTACAAATTTCAGTAGAATATAAGAACCAATAAACAAGTTAATTAGGTTAGCAACCTACAATAATTGAGTTACCCAAGGAAATCCATGTTTGCAAATTCTCATTAAATTTTGACTAAAATTCAGTTAGCAGATAACCATTTGTATAGCCTTCCATAAAAAGAATCAGGTCATGTCCCTGAGCATTGATTAAAATGACAAAAACTAAAAACTTACCGAGGCATCTAGAAGAGTTTGTTCTCTCAGTGTGTATTCTGCAGTTAAGAATTTCAGTTTCTGATGAAGTTCCTCATTTTCAAGTACAACTGCTTGTACTTGATCTTTCATCCCAGAGAGCTCCTCCTATAGTATAAAGAATCAGCATGTAAAAGGCTCCTTGAGACAGCTATCAACACTGGAATACATCTTGAGACTAAAATCTAGATTAACATTCTCAACTGTTTTAACCCTTTTAAGAGGGAGTAAGAATACTCAAAAGATACATGGTATTTTTGCAGCTTGAATTTCCATGTAACTACTTTAAAAAGAAAAAAAAAAAGCTTATTTGTATTAGGACTAAAAATCCCCTAAAGACCCTTAAACACCAGAGACTAAGATACATGGTAAGGGATCTACTGAACTGCATTTGGCTCAGTTTTGGTCATTACAACAAGCAATCTCAAATCAAAATTAAGTTACTTTTAAAGCAGTTATTCATATTTGGGGGATCAGGGTTTTAGTAGGTCAAATATGTTGTCTGATACCTTGCAAAACTTCACTTCTGCTTCCAAATGGTTAATGTACTGTGATTGATCATTGATTATAGGAATGAGATCAGAAAGGACTGGTGAGTCTCCAGGTACAGCTTCTGGGGGTTTCTGAAGGAAATAAATAATAGTATGTGTTATCTTCCAGTTTTCCATTTATTGCAGTAAGAAGTTGCTTGCATACAGAATACATGTACACTTTTCTGGTATGGATTCAAAATGCACACAGAGTTGTTAATGGAATCCTTTCAGAGGAACAATAGGTACATTTCTAGCATTAGTCCATGATTCTGGATGAAAACAAGCATCTTTATGACTATCTCTACCTAGTTTGAAACTGATACAATCCTAACATCTGTGATCTCGGGTCAGAAACATATCTTTTTGGGCAAAAATATGCCATATTCTTAAATATAATTAAGGACTTGAAAATCATAGAACTCATTTTCAGGAACTCCTGAGGTATCTGGGACTACAATTGGAGAGATAAATGGAGTATATCCAGAAGCATTTGGAAAAACATTTAGAGAAGGAACTCCAAATTTGCACTGTATTTCACCTGGCTCAGTGCACGTAAGTCCCATGAATTCCAAACTCAGAATTCACCTTGATTTAAAGTCTGTTAATATTACCTACTTCATAAATTTTAAAAGAAATGAACCAAACTTGTTAAAGTGTATATAATGTAGCCCTGATAATATTTGTCACTCATTTTTCTGTTTCACTGCCTTTTATTCATCCCTCTCTCTTCTTTGAAAGTGTAATGAACACCTTGCAGCTGACACCTCCAGCTGCCTGAAAAGATTACACCACAACAGTGTTAAAAAATGTGGGAAAACTCCATTTCTATACAAATTATTTTTCACTGAAACAGTGTGCTAATATTTAACCCGAGAAACATTAGTGTACTGTAAACAACAGTGGTAACGAATGGTTTCACTAAAAAGAAAATAACATGTATATTTTCCTGAAAACCCCTCTTTGTGACTCTTTTAAACCTTTTTTACAACATAATTGTTATAAATTGATTAGAAATTAATTTGGGATTTTTTTATTAATGTTCTGATAACGTAACATATAGGGTGAAAGAAAAATGGTCAGAGGAGGCATGTATTTAAATTAGGCTGAACATTAAAATCAGAACTGAAAGACACATCTGATCAGTATGAATTACCAAACATTTATATGCCTGAGACTCAGAAATCCTGCTCACATTTGCACACTTAATATTAAAAAGGATTTATAAAATATAAATGCTTAGCAGCTTTAAAAGTCAGCATTCTACATGATGACAAAGTTTTGCCAACATCACAAATAATATGGCCCACCTTCTACTTTTCCTGAATGCCTCAAATTTCAAACATCTAATCCACAGAATCAGAGAAACTCTGCCACCCTGTAAACTGGCAACAAACACCAGGAATCCATCACAGAAACTCCAGCTACTACAGCAGTGTCAGGAACAGAGGCTAGGTGCAGCTAGGTTAGCCAAAACCCAGCTTGCAGAACTGCATTTGCTGTGTAAAGCAACCTTGACCTCAGGCGGTGAAATGCAGAGCAAAAGGAAAATTTTCACCCAACTGTTTGGATGTAATCAACAAAAAGATTTACTCACTTGATGTCTATTGCAACTCTTATCAGTGAGAAAGAAAAGGGAATTTTGTTAAGACAAATTTATATGTATGAAGTGTGGTAAAGGTTCCTAAACAGTATACTTTCTGAGAAATACTTGATTTAACTACAGATCATGCAGTCATACAGTATTCAGTTGTCATCAGGTATTTCAGCGCAACTGAAAGCAAAAGGTTAAGGTTACTGATATTTTAAGTTCGCTTTCCTTGACCTTGGGGTATTGGGTTCTTCTCATAAAAGAAGCATTTCTGCAGTGTCCAGTAAATCACCAGATGAGTTCATATTTCATAAGGGTTTGGGATTCTTTTGGTGTGTGCACACTTTTGTACTTTTACATTTTTTTGAGCTTTACACTTGGTCTGTCTGCAGAACACTTTCACATCCTATTTAGCAAGCAGGTGGAGGACAGCTGCAAAGAAGAATAAGGACGCCACTTCACAGAATGCCACTCACTGGAAACTTCAAGAGGAAGAAATGAGACAATACCCTCCTAATACAGCATATTCCTGGTTTTTCTCTGTTTATTCATCCATTCTTTAAACCACTTCCTGAAAGCACTAGCCCATGTTTCTTAAATAGAAGTATTCTGTTTACTGAATTTTCCACTCTACCAAAACTTTCCAATACAAGTAGAAAACTTCACCAAAGGTAGAATAACAGATTGTTTCCCTCCCCTCCCAGGCTAAATACAAACAGATACTGATTCATGTCATGCCAAGGTCAACCAACCATCATTCCCTTGAGTTACAAAACACTAACTCTTTCCTATGCCATTGTGAGGCAAAACACCTGTCAGGACAACCATACTAAACTCATGAATTTTAGAACACTCAGAGAAGTTAACTTTAAATCGAGTTTCTCAGTGTCAGGACAGTAGAGCTAGGCTCTTTACAAAGGCTGACAGCAACACAGCAGGAATACAGGTTTTAGATCATTCTGCTGTTACCTCAGCTTTGACAGCGAAGAGCTGCTGTCTTGCTTAGTATAAACCAAAAACAGCCAGTAAAGTCAAAAGATAAAACTGTAACAAGGTCTTTGAATTATTTTCCCATAGAGATACTATTAACTAGCAGCTGCTCCGTAACTGAACTGTGTACTGCACACGCTTCCGTGCAGTTTTGCTGCAAGAAAGCAGAACCTAGAAGCCCTTGCAAGGGTATAAACAAAATTACACTGAAAGCACTGCATTTTGGCAGAGGACTTCAAAACCTGTTCTTACATGAACATTTCTAATCCTTTAAAGGAAAAGCATAATTACAGCATAAGAAGGCCATTGAGAATCCTTAAGGTACAGTCAAAGGAAAACAGAGGCTGCTTTTACAGAAATTTTTCCACATGGTTTACCCCAACTGTTTACAAAACAAAAAGGACAAATAACCCACACTGCATGATCAACAAAAAAGGATAAAAGTCTAACCCTGTATTATAGTTTCCTTTTTCTTTCACTATGGTCATAAGCATACCAAAGTCTGGCCACAGCATCAGCAATCTCGTGTATTTAAGAATATAAAAACGATTCAATGTTTCTTTTTCTCCCTGAAATTGTTCTCATAATGCATGCAATTCATTCAAACAGCACAAAGGAAACCAGAAGAAACATACACAGAATGATGACTTCCTTCTTGATGGAGAGACTTCACTTTCCATTCTCTCTTGATGTTGCAGTAAAATTTTAAGTTGATTAACTAGGAAGAGACAAAAAAAAAAAAACCCAACACCATTATAACAAAAAATACTTAATTTTTCCAAATAAATTAGTTTAATTTCTAAAAATGATTAAACCGTTTGCTTTCAGAGTAATATTACCTGCATGACTGTGCTGCAGCTCCTGCCTGGCCGCATTCCCACAGTCATCATTTTCCCTGTCCACATCATCATGGCTCTCATCCATAGAGGACTGGTCAAATCCAATGTCATCCTCACCCTTTGTCAAGGCATATTTCAGTTGATGGATACTTTCACTAGCACGTTCTGCAAATAAAAAAGAAAAGCAATCCCATCATTAGCCACAATAAGTAACATAAAAGAAAGTATTTACTAACTGGTATTTTAATTGGAAAAAACATGAGAGAACTAAAAGCAGTCATCATGTGTCTAGCTTGACTACTTGACCTAAACTCAGACACTGAAAGTAATTTCCTAATTTAAACAGCCAAAACAACTACTATACTTACAAAATACTTGCTAAATATTTACTAAATATTCAAAGAAGCAGCTATAAATAGCATCTTAGCCCCTCAATAGATTAGGACTCTGTTGCAGCAGCACAAGTAATAATATACCTGACCCTACAATATTTCCTAACATACACACTTTCCGTACTTTTCAATGAACCTAAAACTCATGCTATGTTTTATTTACCATAAAGGATTGGGAACCAAGAACAATATTTTTGCTTTCCAATGATGCCACCACACATTACAAAGCAATGTATCTCACAACAAAGCAAATAACTGAGTATATAAACTAATAATTCAGCAAACTGAGCCAACATAAGACAGTTATTTATTAAAGACCAATGACTTCTGAACAAGTGGGAAAAATAAATAAGAACACTCACTATTTTAGAAAAACACCCCAACACACACAACAGAAAACCCCTTTTCAGATAAATGCAAATTATTTTCAAGAACTGACTTATTGACAGTAGTGGTCTTTTCTAATGTTCAGTATATTTTTTTCTTATATTCCTTTTTAATTTTTTTTTATTTGATTCAGTTGACTTCACAAAAACCCAAAAATTTGCCAATCATAAATGCCATATCCCTCTGACACAGCTTAACATTTCCAATATGCCAGAAAGGAAATTTGAGAGATTTGTAGCTGAGAGATGACAACTGACTTAGAAGTCAGAAAATGTGGGCTTGGTTTTAGATAAGGATATGTCTAGTTCACACCACAGGACCTCAGACAACTGCTTTATTATTTCTTTCTTTCAACTACCTGTGTAGTTGTAAGATGGGTATTTTATTTCACTTCCCTTTAAGCAATGTGTTATACTAACTAGAAAAGAGAGTAGTAACCTAAGTAGTGTGGCTTCATGCGATGTTCAGCAAAGCAGGGTCTGCTGTAGTACCAAGTGAACCAAGAAAATGACCTGTACATCAGTCACAAAGCGTACACACTTGGTGAGACAGTGCTCCAACACGATTCACAGCCACTTTATCAGGAACACAGGAAGATATGTTTCTTTTACATTTCCCCTAAGTAACATCTAAGTCAATTGTTACTAATTTAAAACAAAACAAAAACCCACACTCTCAGAACCTCACTTGACTTTCAGAAACATAAAATCATAGCTATTTTCTTCATTTAGCCTTGAATTCTTCGGAGGGCTATTCTCCCCTAAGACTATCATGTATGAAACATTTAGGTACAACTGCCCACAGAACAGGAATTTCACTCTTGTGAGCCAAGTTTATAAGGTAAAATCTTCTACTGGAGCAACTGCTAAAACTACAAAAGTGTTTGCATTTTTGCAAAATTTTGCAATCCTTTGCAACGCACATCCTTATTTTTATATGCTTGTTATTTCTAAATCGATATGATGCATAAGTAACTGAAAATATATTTTTGTCACTGACAAAAAAAAGCTAAACCAAATAAGCATAGTTAAGCATTTGCTAGATAGAATTCAGAAGGCATGCCTCAGTGTATAACATATGTTGTTGGTTACAAATATTAATAGCTCCTTTCTTCCAAAGGGAAAGGTAAATAGCAGTTCAAGTCAGAAAACAAGAGCAAGATACGTATTTCTGTCTTCACTTTTTCAAGTTCACATCATCTTGACTGAAGCTGGGAAATTGATTTTTTTCCCCACTCTAATGGTTTTCACCATTTTTTCGGTCTTCTTCTCTGCTTGATAACTGACCAACAGCTTATAAAATATAAACAATACCTCAAAAAGCATTATATTTAAAAACATGGTTCTCAGTCCAGTATGCCAACCATCACTCTCTTTTCAGCAATATTAGTTTTTAATAAAAACCTCATCCATTTCTGACCTATTAATCTTCTCTCAGCACTTATTTTTAAAGTCAAGTAATCCTATGGCTGACATCATCTCTTTTGATTTTTGGGTACCCCACCCTTTAATAAATTTAATGCAAAAGAAAACATGAAAAGCACATTTAAAACAGCCATAATTTGGCATAACAAACCTCCAACACAGCTCACAAGGCAATGACTCAAAAAAGAGGGGTTTAGGTCAAATATTTCTCTTTTGGCACACTTATGCTATTCATCCCTTCTTGAGTATTACAGGATGCTTTGAGGGCGGGAGAGCTAATTGAGAAATGCCAGAAGTATCTCACTGATGCAATGGCTTAGATATTTAGCAAACTATGTTGCAACTAGTTGTTGCCAAGAAGTGTTCAATGTCATATTATGTGGTGTGTTATCTGATAGCAATAAAGTTCCTTCATTTCCCTATTCACTGTAGATGTTTGTCAGAGAACTCGAGTATCAATATTTGATCCACAGCCAGTGACAAACAAAAAAACAAATCAAACCAAAACTAAACAAGCCCATATGTACTGTTTTTTCCAAAACTTCTCTCTGCCTTTGTAATATTAGAGCTTCTGAACTCAAAGGTACTACTTGATCCACAAGCATAACATCGATCTTCTTACACCATGTACTCTTCTCCCATAAAATATACAGGGCAGTCAGTAACAGTGAAACACATTAAAACCATTATCAATGGGACACTGATGTCTATTTTTTTTTTTTTTTGACTACTCTTTCCTGCCTCTGGAATAGTGTCACCACATTCTTGAAAGCTTCATCAGGTATTTGCTTAAATGTCTTAAAAGCCTGCCTATTTCCGAATTGCAAATGTTGGTGCCACAAGCAAACCACTTGCATAACACTCGCCCCTGAGAAACTAAAAGTTAGGGGTTCACGACAGTCTGGCTATACAACAAAAAAGAGTGGAATTGGGTGTGTAAAAGGGAATAAGTACATTATAGCTTTTTTTTTTTTCCAAAGTAAGGGATGCATCATGGAGTGGAAGGGTTGTTTGTTGTTTCTGCCAATGTAAAAACATTCTTTTTAAATACGAAAGAAATGGAAAAAAACCTCTGTGGATGCAAACTACTGGACACCAAAGAACCCTTGCTTAAAGACAATATGATAATTTTTTAATTAATTTAAAAGTAATTAATTTTTATGTGCTCCTACAATCAACTCTTTCATTTAGGTTACTGCTGTAAAACTACATTTTACAGAAACAGCACCTCAGTAAAAAATACTGCAGAAAACTGCTCACATGCAGTCCTATGATTTGCATATCAAAATCAATCAGCATCTTTCTTTTCTACATCTTAACAAAACTCTGTGAATGAAATCCAAACTTGTATTCCTGTTCTATGATAAAACATCATTGATATGCTATTTCCTATAAGAGTAGCTGAGGATATAACTGAAATTGGACTCTTGTGTCTTAAAACTTAAAAAAAAACACCACTTGTTTCTTTAAAACTCTTTGGTTTTCAGTGTTAAAAGGATCTGAGACAATTACGAAAAATGGCAAGTTAGCACCCAAACCTGAGGGATCAAACTCAATACATTAAAAAAAAAAAAAAAAAACAACAAAAAAGCTATTGCTCCACAAAAATGCTATCAAGTTGTCAACCAGCATATATGAATCCCAGGCAGTACTTGCCACAAGGGACAGGCAGACAACTTATCTAACACCTTAGCAATACACAGAAAGAAATATATTACTGCTTATTATTTCAGAGACAAGCAACCAGCAATCCTAATCTAGGATCAAGACCATATTATTCTGGGTACAAAGATATTCCTGCCTCTCAATTCATCTAAACTTGAATGCAACTCTGGACTAGATTAAATTCAGTTAAGCATAATGCTTTAGACAAAAGCAACAGAGCCATGACTGAAACATTAATTAATCTTTGGAAATTACATGACACATATTCTGCATGATGAACACAGATACTTCACTGCCCTGAAAGAAGCATTGATAACTACTGTTAATTTTTGTACTCATTGTAACTACAAAATCTAAGTATTATGACCTGAAAATATAATATAGGTAACCTTTTTCCATAGAATTATCTTTGTATAAATATAAATGGTAGATTTTTTTTTTTTAATATGGGAGTGTCAATACTACAGCTGAGTAATATTTTTTTACATTAGAGGCATATTAAAGATCCATTCAACTTGTCAAAAAAGGGAAAAAAAAGAAGAGAGAAGACAGAGTCAGGAAACTCTGAAGTAAAACACAATATGAAGAAGTAGCCATATTTCCAAAGTAGTAATCAGCTTGGGGGGAAATAAAAATAGTTAAAAAAATAATTAAAATAAAAATCAGTGTAAGAACAGTTTCCTGCTGAGTGAAAACAGAAAAAAAAAAACAAACAGAGAAGGCATTGAACAGGGTTAGCATTGCCTGAACAAGAGATGTTTTTTCAGACACTGCTTATAAAGAGCACTCCTTTAAATGAAAGCACCAAAGTTACCTCATTCATGAACTCGGAAATGCCATAGAAAATACTCTGGGAGCTAATGGAGAGTTTAGCAAAGGAACCAACCATCCAAAACAACAGAATTGCATGAAAGACATGGAAAATAACTCCAGCTGGTAGAAGCATTAGAAACCTAAATTAAAGAAAACAAACTACAACTGTATGAAAAAATTGCCGTAAGTCTGTCATCTAAAGCTGACAGTCCAGCTCTAATAATGTTTACAGGAACATGAAGTTACAGGCTATAAATTCAACACCTCTGCTTTCTGATATCTCATGGTTCCCAATCAGAATACGGCCTTAAAAGTCAGAGAAGAAGGAATTACACCAATTCTTTAGGCCTTAAAAAAAATTGTAAAACTTATGTGAAACAGTAAATGACAAAACAGACAATTAGAAAAGTTAGTGAAAACACAAAGATTATGTCCATTTAAAGAAAACTTTCCTATCCAAAAGTGTATCAACTTTTACTTAGTTTCTATTGACAGTTAAAAATCTAAAATAGTACATCATGTACCTCTTCTGAGATAGCACTTCAGCCAAGCAACTGCTGAAAAATACTGAAACAGAATTTGCTCATACGTGGGGTTTTTGGGTTTTTTTTCCATCTTGGAATTTACTTATCATTCTGACATGCAACTGTTCTTCTTTATTGGCTGCCAAACAGAGGTATGCTACCATGCTAGTAACATACTATACAGCAGATTTGAGACTAAAAGTATCCTATCAATTACTAGTTAGGATATTACATGCAACAATGCGCAACAAGCAGGTTGTTCATTAGCCACGCCTCAGAACATTCCAAGATGTGTGTAATACTCAGCTGTTTCAAAATAATGATTCCTTTTAATTTGGTTTCCTGGATTTCATTGTCTTCATAATTTCCATTATACGAGAACTAAGTGGTTTTTCAAGACAGTTTTACCAAATTACTATCTGTAAGAGAAAAGTGTTCCCTGGAGCTGCGGTGTTCATTGTCACGAGTTCCTAAACCAGTACTTTCTGCAGAGCATAAAGCACCTGCCTAAGGTATAGAAAACCTCATGTGTGAAAGACTCCCAAGCATTCCCCAGTTCCTTCTGCCAGATTCTCCACCCTTACATGATTATTATGTGTTCAGAAGAACACCTAGAAACAATTATCAAATAAAATAAAAAGCCTAAACAAAAAAGCTTACAATTAAAGATTACCAGTGTAATTCTTGGCTGGTTCAGTGTCACAGCTAACTTAGAGAGCTGGTAACTGGGCCCCATGCTCAGTTTTCCTAAGATGACTTTGCCTTCACATCTCTCCTACTTTATTTTTGGAGTCACATAGAGCAGCCACAACATGAAAGTTTATTTGTAGAAGTCCTATATTTTCATATGTTCCTCTTACAGTTTGCACCTTTGTTCTCTGACACCATGCCCAGTAACGCAGTGGAATACAAAACATAATGTCCACAATTTCTTAGGGCAGATTTACAGGGACTGTACCTAAAAGGGATGGTCTACCCCTCCTCTTATACTGTCTCTGGCCCAACAGCGAGCCAGTGCTCTTTAGTGATGAGGCAGAAAACTCTACATAAATAAGTTACATGTTCTCTGTTTGAGGAACCAGACAAATGCTAGAAAAAAAGAAGTGGGCTCTACTTCTCCATTTAATGCTGCTGGGAGAAAACGGGAAAGTAACAGGAAGGCATCACACCCTGCTCTTGGCAATAGTGTAGTAGAAGGCCCATCGTACATTCACATTATGCCCGTAAATTTTTAGTTATTAATGTGAATACTATAGCACATCACTTATTCTCCTTTACAAAATACTTCTACTCCCTTGAGAATACCTTTTTATTAGAAATGTTATTATCTCCTATCATTTTTAAGGTTCTTTTGGAATGATCTCAACTGTGTGAAAGTTAACACAGTAACCTAGTAACCCCAGCTGTAAAAATAACTCTCTTAACTCTGTACTACACACAGCATTACAGACTTTCATTATATGAGGTCTACACTATTCAGGACAAGCTGAATTACAGAATCTTCGTTATTTTATCAAAGCCACTCTGTTGGGTTCTAAGACCAGTTAGGTCTCAAGCAGATTTTTTGGTCCAGCTTCCTGCCCTCCGGCCACATGACACAGTTTACTGAACACTTGGGCTCCCTATCTTCTGAGCGATTTTTCTTTGCAACAAAGGCACTGAAATAATCAATTACTCTTTGAGAACTTATACACCCTTCCTTCAAACTGAGTAAGGCTGTAAAGTGATTCTTCTGGTGTCCAGCATGGGTGGTGATAACCTGTTGCCATGTGTCAGCCTGGTTGCAGATAATGTCAAGCATTACAGACAGTTTAAGAATGCTGCTTTTTGAAACCATCAAATAATGCCCAAGGCATGCCACCTGAAATTTCAGAATCCAGATGACAGGAACAATATTAACATGAAGAAGAACCTCAAGAGGTACAACTATAGAAGAAAAATAAGAATCAGATTTAACCACTTTGAGAGTAACAGTGATCTATTTGTCCTACAGTAAATTTGTAACAGTGATGTGAGAAATGCTGTACAGCTTAAAGGAGTTAAAAATTGTACATCACTGAGAAATAAAGAAGTTCTTCAAGAAATATAATGGAACTTAGGTTATATCACCATGAAGTCGAGTTGTTTGCAATCCATGATTGATTTCTACTGAAAGGTAACCCTGGATGTATGAAATCAAACCTATCTTGGCACTGTTTGAAAAAAAAAAAAAATCCTTGTTTTCAAAATGTAAAGGGAAACAGCTCACCAGAAGTTCAGGTTCTGAAATTATTTAACAAACACAATGGACCCAGTGTAAAGGGATCCAGTTAGATAAAGATAAAATGTAAATAAGTTCTATGAACAGAATACACGTGTCTAATCATCAGATAGGATGAGCTCAAATAGTAGTCTTACACACGGTTAAACAGCCTTGACAATTGTCATTTTAGCTGCTCTACCTGCAAGTGTCAGGCAGCATTACCACCATGTTCAGCAACAGGCAAAATAAACAGAAACTTGAAGAATAATTTCTATCTTCTGGAACAAATGAAATAGATCATCAGTGGAAAGAACTGCTGCTAATTCAAGATGGAAATTCAAAATACGTGCTAGGAATCAAATAGCTATTTCAAAATATTTCCTTTTTTTTTTTATTTTTTTTTTATTTTCAATGATGTTTCCTATATTACAACTATACATTCAATTCAACAGCATCACAACAGCTCGTGTGTGGGCACTGTGCCCAGAACACAACTTTTTGCGTCAAGTGCGGTGCCACCCACAAACTACCTACAGGCTTTCGCCAGAATTTGGATGCTTCCTTACTAAACAGAGACTATCTGAAAGCCGGTGAAGCCCAGGTGTCACAGCTGAGAGACTGAAGTGCTCTCTGCCAGGGTATATACCTCGCTTCGTGGACAAGGCGGTTGGTACGAAAACAGCCAACGACGTGGGAAATAATCACTCCCATTATCAGTTCGCGCCCTCATCTTTACCATGGCTAGAACCCCGATGCCTCAACGGCGGCCAAAGCCCTCCCGAGAAGCAAAACCCCACCCGAAGCAGCAGCGGCCCCATCCAAGCCAAGTTACGATGGGACCAGCCCATCGTGTCACAGCACCCACGCCGCCTCACCTCGCCCGGCCGCCCGGGAGGTGGCGGGACGGCGGCGCGCCAGCCGCGCACACCGGGGCAAGAGCGGCCGGGCGCGCATTGAGCAGCTCGCCCTCACCCCGCGCCGGGGCCGCTCACCTCGGAGGCGCCTCTGGTACCGCTCCAGGGACTCCTCCAGGGCGCGCTCCCCGCGGGGCGCCCGCATCAGGACGCCGCCGCTCCTGGGAGAGCCGCCGGCGCTGCCCCCCCGCCCACACCGCGGCACCCCGGTAGATCCACTCGTCCTGCCTTCCCGCGGCGAGCTCCCAGAGGAACCACCTGCGCAACCCATGCGGCTCCCGAGCGCCGACCGTTCCCGCCGGCCGCGCCGCGGCTCAGCCTGGCAACGCTGGGAGCCCGCCACGCCTCCAGGCGGCGGGAATGCCTCCGCCGGGACTACACGTCCCGGCATGCACCGCCCCGCGGGGGGCGGGACCCCGCCTGCAGCCCCCCGCCCACCCCCGGCGGCGGTGGGCGGGTGGTCGCCGCATCCTCTCTCCCCTTTGTTGTGGATCGCGGCCGCGCTCGCGCCTGCGCACAGCCCAAGTCCGCCCGCCCGCGCCCTGGGGCCCGCGGCGGGCGCAGCGCCGGTGCCGGGGCGGCCGGGGCGGCCCGAGCGGGGAGCGGCGTTTACCTCCGGCCATCGCCCGCGCGGGGGGCGCCCGGGGGTGCAGGCAGCGCTATTGTCTGCGGCCCGCGCAGGCGCAGCGCGGCGCCGCCGCCGCTCGTCCCCCGGCGCGTGCGCAGTGGGGGCGGCGCCGCGGTGCCCGTTACCCGCCGCTATGTGCAGGGAATAACGCCGGGGCCGTTGCCAGAGGGACACCGAGCGCTCCGCCCCCGCATCCCGCGGGATGCCGGCTCGCTGAGCACCCGCGAGCCACGGCCCCTCCCCGGCGCGGCGAAGCCTCCTCGGAGGGGTGAGTGTGAGGATGCTGCTGCTGCTACCGCCGCCGCCCCGGGTGCAGGTCGGGCGGGAGCCGTGGCGGGGAGCGGGGCCGCGGTCGCGCTGTTGGTCCGCCCGGTGCCCATTGTGCCAGGCGGCCCCGCCCGCCGGCACCGGGGGTGCTGCGGCCGGCGGAGGGGGACCCGGCACGGTGTGGGCACAGTCAGCTCCCCCTCCGCCGTCCCCGCCGGGCCCGGGGGCGGGGGATGTCGCCGCTGCCACGGGGCATCGCCTCAGGCAGGATGCGGGCGGCGCCCCCATATCCCGCTGCCCGCGTTTTCCCGCACCTTTCCGCCTGCAGGGCGCCCCCGGCACACCCACCCGGGCCTGGGGCTGCGCTCCTGCCTTCCCTCCCACGGGCGGATTTCCGTGATTCTAGCGGAGACCTTTCCAGAGGTTTAATTTTTTTTTTTTTTCGGTTGCCCCCTTTCACTGACCGCCCCGGTGCTGGAAGCGGCATCTTTCTCCAGATTTAAAAAATCAGTGACACTCTTCGTTTGAGATGCGGCGTTTTCCCCCGTCTCCTTTGAAATAATGTCTTCTGGGAGAAGGGTGGCGGAGAAAATCTGCGGGTTTTGCCATTTCTCTTAATGCGTATTTTCACCCGACGAGGCGGGTCCCCTGCGCTCGAAAACACCTTCCCCGAAGGCGTGAGCTTTTCGCTCTCGGGGCACTTTCCCGGGGAAGACGCGGCATCGCGTGTTTCTGTCCCCGGTGCCGAGGGGCAGCGCGGGGCCCACTTTGCGCGGCGGCCGCGGGGCCGAACGGGTTACTGCGCTAACAAAAACCCGATGGCGATTCTCGGCACAGAGCGCGGCGCGGCGGAGGAAGCGGGAGGGGAGGGGAGGGGCGGGGCGGAGGGCGCTCCCCGGGCCGCCCCCCCGGTGCTCCCGCAGCTGCCGGGCAGTGGTGCCCGTGCGGACCAGGAGCGGGGACGGCCGGCCCTCCTTGGTATTTTGAGGACCTTCTTGAGATGAGCCAACAATTAGCCCATCAGTGCTTGATGGGAAAAAAAAAAAAAAAAGAGATGTAGATGCTTATGCTGATGAGTTGCAGATACATAAGGATCGCGTTCTTGTGACAGGAGATAAGATAGCATCCACTGATCTGCACTTGGAGGAAATTATTTTCTTCCCTGTAAAAGCAAAGGTGCTCATAAAATATTTAAATACTTTGAAAGAATAAAGCCTGTTCTAGCGCTGCGATGATCATTTTTTTTCCTTTGAAATGCCATTCAAAGCACTGTGACAGTGTTCGTGGCCTTGGGCTTGTGTCTGTAAAGTGATGTGTGGGATGGGACAGTTTTTGTAAACTGGACTAAGACATGATTAAATATGCTGTGATTTCCTATGATTAATTTCCTCTGGGAATTACTTTATGTCCAGATGCTGAGAAGTCCATCTTACTAAACTCTGCTAATATGAAAACTCCTCAACTTTAAATTTTATTTAACAGGGGAGAAAATTAACCATAAACACCACAAAAAAGCTCCCTTTATGCTTTGATTATAATTTTCTTAAATTCTTTGTCACTTTCATATAAATGTTTTGTTGTTGTTGGCTTTTTTTCCCCTTTCCTGGTCTGAAGGAGATCAGGAAGGCTGGCTGAATAGAGAGAATAATGCAGCTGGGGATACACAGGATTTTGTCCAAATCTCTTTTGTAATGGATCAGATAAAAATGTTTTCTTTAATTCTTTTGAAGAGAAACATTCTGCTATAATATTTGTTACCAAACTTACTTCATCGTACATTCGTTTGGGTTTTTTTGACATATGGTGGGTGTTTCCCATATCCATTCTTTTGGAAAGAACAATGGGTTCTTCCTATATTGTGTTTCATCAGCTGTAACGGACTTGATAGGCAAAAATTTTTAAAAATTCCAATGATAACATACAAACCAGAAAACATCCAGCTTGTGAAAGTGAACTGTCAAAGTTCGATTGTAGGTGGGAGCTTGGAAGCTTCCTCAAATGACTGGAATGAAACCCAAGGCATGAGAAGTTGCAGACATGGATTTTGCAATACCATTTCCACTTTTTGTAAATGCAAGAAAAAGATACTTGATGTGTATCGATATCATCATGTCTCCTTGAGCCTCCTAAGAGGACTGCTGTTTCCATGTTAGCACTGCTTTTCTTAGCTTTGCGGGCAGAATGGAACAGAGATACAGCAGATTGTTTTTACTTCAGCTACAAAGTAAGGAAAAACTGTGAAATTCTGGTTTTCCTGTAGAAAATTCTGAACAAGGGAGTCAGGCATGGAGTCCGTGAAGATAGGAGAATTTCTACAAGTAAATTCTGCTATCTACTCTAGCATGTGTGAGGTTGTAAAGGGACACAATGGCATGCACTTCCCCCTTTTTGAAGAACATGCTTCATAACATCAAAAAAAAATTGATTCTGTCTGCAATTTGAGAAAAGGAAGTTGTTACTGAGGGATGGAGCTTCAAATCTGCTAGCTGGGAGCTGGGTTAGATATTTGTATCTCTTCTAAGGTACACATCTTCACTGCACTAATTGATCCTGTGGGGGTCTTTCGCTGTCTATTGGGTTTCTGGTGCTCTTACCGAATGCTTGCATCTCTTCCATTCCGCTGTTGATCCTTCTGTATCTACACATTTTCAATGGACTGGTCCACAGAGAGCAGCTTCCTTCAGTGCACGATGCTAATGTTTCCCTGGATCAGAGTCCATCTAGGGCACTGAATGGGACAGATGTCATAGGGAAAACCAGTACGTGATCAAGTGACTTAAACTGTAACATAATGCATGTAAATTAGGGTGGGAAGAGAATAAAAACTACTTGTTTAAACTACTTCATGTATGTCTGTAGTACAGTTATATGTGCATAAAAATATTGAAATAGATTGCAAATGCTTGGTCCTCTTCTGTAGTTTAGTTTCTCTGACTCTACCACCAAAAAGCTGGGGTGCTGTTTTTATTTTACAGGTGTATTTTTTTTGTAGAATGATCTTTTTAATTAAAATTGTGTTTTACGTTCAAAAGACCCCATATATTTTAAATTAATATATGTGATTTTCTATCATATATTGTGTAAAAACCTCCTTGTCCTAGGAGTTTCAAACAAAAGCCACAAATATGCATATCAGTGAAGTGTGTCATCCAGGGTCTTAGATGTGGGTAAGAAGTAAGTTTGAGAGTAGGTGAATATTAAAGAGGCCAAGTAGCAGTTCTTGTATCTTAATGCCTCTGCATGGAGTACTCCCAGTTACTCACTCTTCCCTGGTTTTGGTACAGCAAGGCTGTGCGGCTCTATTGCAGTGACTCTGGTAGTTTTCTAAGTACATGAGAAGTAAATTCACTCCACTAACCGAGCAGAACACTATTTCTTTTCTTTTTGTTTTGCTTTTTTTAAAATTTTCTTCTCCTCCTCCCTTGGATTAGCAAAGTGAATCATTTTATTGTGTGGTCAGATGAGTGCCAGAGCAAGTACACAGAATGAGGACAGCAGTGTCAAGCCAGGAAGAGAGGAATACTCATTTTTCCGGCAGCAAAGATACATGTGGTCTACTTTACTGTCCTACGTGGTTGTCCTCTATGCCCCTGCAATCAGAGAGGAGGCGGGTTATGCATAAATCTAAGAAAACAAAATTAATAAGATACTGGGTTTGTTGTTGTTTTTAGTCTTTATTTGCGGTCCTTGATATATAAAATGCCCCCATCCACAGACTAAACATTCAGAGCATATCACCAGATGAAAAAAATGTTTCCCTGTAAAGTAAATATTAAAAGAGGGGCTAGAAGTGGTTCTGTTAAGCCTTGTGGCCTTTGTGCTACGATAAGCAGGATTTTTGTGCCAGACTAATATTGGTATCTTCTTCTTTACAGAATTTAAGGATATAAATTTTCAAATATTTTCAGTTTCATCTTTGCTACTTACTAGTTTTGACATGTGTGGTTTTTGTGAATTGTAGAAAACTGCTATTAGGTATGTGTTTAGAGAAATTGTTTTTACAAATTCAAAACAGAGATTGAACCATAGTCTCTCTTTTAATCCCCTGAATAGAATATATTCTTAGTAAAACGTGATAAATTTTTCCCACTTGAGTCCAACATACCTGTCAACTTTGTTTCTCCTCTGAGAAATTGTTACTGAAAAAGTAGACTTTTCCTTTCCTAGGTGCTCTGTAGAGCTTCAGCATCATCCAGTGGTGGGCCTAGTAGGCTAATTCAGATCCATCAATGGCAGCCCTCTTACTGCCTACCTTCTTTGGTTGGTTCTGCTGCATTTATTGCAAGAGTTGGTTTTTTTTTTCTTTGTGTGTTTCTGTTCTTGTGAACTAAAATGTTTTCTATTCCGATCTAGTCCATGAAACTTAAGAGGGTATTGTTCGTGACAAATAGCTGAATTTTCTGAAGTCTGCCTGGTGGTTTTTCCAGATGTCATCTTATCTCATTCTGTACTTCATTCCAAATGAAATTCTGGTTCTGCTCATTTTGTTTCTTTCCAGGAAGAACTGCAATTATTGAGCTTTTCAGAGACATAATAACAGAAGTGATGCCACTCCCTGGCATTTCCAAGATGTTTCTTTGTGCACAGGGTGTTTAGTTAGTCTTCAGCTGTGGTATATGAAAAACTTGTAATCAATCCATTAGCAAATCATTATGGTCTGAAAGTACTAATACACTCAGTGCAATAAATCAGATGTACTTGTGACTTTTCCCTCAGAATTACATGCCCAAATAATTTTGTTGATGGTCTTTCTGTTGAATTGCAAATATTTCGCCATCTAAATATGCAT